TATTTTCAAAAATGTTATTAATTTTATTACAAAAAAAAACTTCAATTATTTTCTTAATAATGTTATTCTCTTTTTTTTTCGAAACCTTATCATTTTCTTCGGTGCTTTTTAAACCCACTAATTTTTTTAAAATTTTTAATTTTTCTTCATCTTCCAAACATGATAAAATAAAATCAATTATTTCTTTTGTTTCTTCTAAAAATTTAATTGAAATATCAAAAAGATTGTTTTTTTTCATTTCTTTTTTAAAATCTGTTAATGTTTTATATTGATAATCTTCTGATGTCAACATAAAATTATCAGGGTCTGATACGTTCTCAACAGAGTCATCTACTGATCCTCCTACTCTAATTATTAACATATTTAATAATATACTTAAAATGTTATTGAAAAGCCTCATTATTATTAGGGGTAAAAAATCATTTTATTTATATAGTTAACAAATCAGTGATCATCAATAACAAATCATATGATTTTAAAATACAGTCGATATGTCTAAGTTTTATTTAGTTACCGAAATTAAAATTTTGTTAAAGTAAATTAATTTACTGATGATTTTGTTATCCCTGTAATTTTAGTATTTGTATCCGTATCTATCTCTAATATGTTGAACTGTATATTATCTATTTGATCAATTTTCTTAAATAAAAAATCTGACAATAAATATTAAAAACATAAAATCAACCGTATAAAAGCTCTTTATCATAAATTACAATACAAAAACACTGCATTTTTTAAAAAATATAACAAATAACAAATAAGTTTCTATTTTTAACAAAAAAATTTTATTGTTACGGAAAAAACATTTAGTTATTTAAATAAAAAAACTTATCAATTTTATCTCTATTTTTCGTTATAATAAATTGATATAATTCTTTATTATTCAACTGTACCTCTATTATATTATCAGTTTAAAAATAACTAATATTAGATAATAATTCTCAATAAATGTATTTGATTATTTGTTACTTTTAAAAATTATTTGATTAATTTAAGTTTTATAAAAAATAGTTAATTTATTTTGTTAACAATAAAAATCCAAACGTTCTTTTATTAAACTAAATTACAGATGATAAAATAAAGAAAATTGAAAGATTTTTTGATAAATAATAATTTAATTTAACTTTTATTTTAGTTAATAAACATATAATTTTCATATTTTCTTAAAAATTCTACTATACAAATAGTTATTATGATTTTGTTTCTTTTAATATACAATTTTATTATTGTAAATCTTTTTAATTTTTTTATTTAAAATAATAAAATCTATTTTTGAACTTAAAGTTTTTATTATAAAAACAAACTATTTTATTTTATAAAACTTTTTTTTAATAAAATTAATAATGAATTTATTTTTATTTATTAGAGAAATTTGTTCATTAAATTATGCGATTATCTGTGATAAATCAAAGAATTATTTTAATTATAGACATTTCACAAAA